AACAAAATCCAACCCATGAAATACCATAAATAAACAAACATATCATATATAAGCCCTACAGAAGGGTAATCCTGCCAGGCCCCACCATGGGCATGTTATGCAAAGACAGAAGAAAACACACAGACACAAGGGAACCTACATATGTGGACATGCACACATGGAGCACATAAACACAAAAACCCTCTCACACTGTGCACACACATGCATATATGCACCCAGCTGGGGGAAGGCTCCTAAGAAATCTGCAGATGTTCTGAATATCAGATCCCTTATAGACCTGCCCTGCAGAGAAATAGTTGCAGTTAGCATGACTCAAACAATTCTGCATAGCATCTGGGGAAGATTCTTCCAGATCTCTATTTCTGCAGGTCTCTAGGTTGTACTGACATTGCCTGAGATTAGAGTTCCCTGGCTTAGGGACTTCAGGGCCTTGGAGCTCCAAAAAAAATCTACCATATGAAACCCCCTGCATAAAAAATACATGCCAAGCAAAGCAGCTGTCTGTACCTTCCCTGTAACATCCTCCTTTTGTACCTCCTGCTTAGATGCTCCAGGCCAGAAATGGGAAAAGGACATTTGTTTCATCTTCCAGGCAGGTCATTTTATGACTTGAGACCCAAGTAAGAGGAGAAGGATCAGCTGAGGCATCTATGAGCTGACTGCAGTTAGGAGGAGGAGACGGCCAGCACAGCTGCTGGCAGCTTTCCAGCAAATGAGACTGCAGAAGCAGTCTATTGAGCTGCTGGGGAGCGGAGGTATAAAGAATCAATCCAGAGTTTGCTAGATCTTGGTGAAAAGCATTCCCTTGCTGAGTTGCAAAAGCAATATTTCCACCCTGTAGCCTTGTATTTTGATGGCAGGAATGGCCTGAGAAAACAACTGTCTGCAACTCTGAGTCAGTGGCTTCTTCATCACCCGCAAAGTCCACATTTTTTAGAATACTTATGTCCAGTTACAGGCTGAGGGAGTAATGAGTCTCACTGTCACTTCCTACTCTAGACCAAAAACAGTCTAAGTCTTAAATGCCTATTCCTTGGCATTTCCATGATGCTTCCTACCCCAAATCAAGTGACTCTCTATTTGTGCTTTATAGGAAGCACAACTTCTCAAAGCTTGCACTCAGCTTCTTTTCCATTGAACAGCCATGCTAAAACACAGAGCCAAGTGCAGGCAATCAGCCAAGGAAGAGTACACTGCAGCACCAGCTACTGCTCTAGACCCGGCTCCCGCACAGAGCAATGTTAATCAGACACTAAGCAGCCCTGCTCACTGCAGCTCAGGGAGCTGTGCTGGCACTTTGCAGACTCCCCACTGCAGAGTTTTCCTGTTTACAAAAGTGGCAGAGCAGGTATTTGGCTGGAGAATATGGCAAGGTTTCAGCAAGCATGGTGAAGGGGGAGGTTTGAAAGACAAGAGACCTTACAGGAAAGATCTGGGAAGAGAACCACCTCTAGTGAACAAACCTCCGGTCTGCACAGTGAGGTTTTGCTGGCTGTCAGGTAGGGATATTAAAGACTCACTATGCTGGTAAAATCCCTAGGGCAGACAGCCCTGATACCAAAAGAGGCCGTCTATCCTTCTGGGAAAGCAGTGTAAGGAAATCAGCAGAGAACCCTGTTCTGCTGCTATGCACAGTGTCTGTCTCCAACTAAGCACCTCTTCTGCCATAGCTCTGCCCGGATAGCACAGGAGCAGCAGGCCTGTAATGTGGGAAGCCTTTAGTTCAGTGGTTGTAGAGTCTGGGCACCCTACTCCAGTTTCTTTGAATATCGTGGCATCCCCAACTGAGAATCACTGTTGTGCTGCCTCATCCGACCTTAGTGCTTCTGAATGGGGTGCTTCCACCATGGCTAAGTAAAAATGGTCCACATGCCTCATGCACAGCCAGATTGGGAAGGGCTGTGGTATGCGTCTCAGGGTTCCTTTAGGCAGGAAGATCTGCTCTTACTGCAGTCCTTCCTGGCTGGATGCTGCACAGTGTCCCAGAAAGGGGTGTGTGGGGCAGGTGAAAAACTCATTTGTGGCGTAGGTCAATGCCATTTGTAATCAAAAGAATGATTTTGTACAGAACTGCTACACCCCTCCTCTGCCATGTCATCATATCCAGTTCCCAACTATTTGCTGTTCCTAGTGTCCTGCAAAGCCACAGCTCATGGACTGTCCACCACCCGCTGTAGGTCTCCTTTGGCATTGTAGACTTTAGCTTTCTCCCTTTTGCAGTTCTCAGATTTCCTTTCTCACAGTCCATCAGGTATTACATGTGGCTGTCAGCTGAAGGTTGAGGCCTATTCTAGCTGCTGCTGTTATGTTTGTATTGCAGTTGTACCTAGTAGCCCCAATTATGTTAGATGCTGTGAGCATACATAATGAAAAGGCAGTCCCAAAGAGCTTACAGTCTAAAGCCCCATGTAAATCTTGCATTTACATGTCATGTAATGGAATGCCTTTGCAGTGCGAGTAAAAATGGTGACACCGAGTTCAGCGTGACCAAACTGGAAAAATTCATATGTAGATTTTATTTACTGATTTATAAATGACATCCATCATCTCAGTCACTTGGCCCTTTCTCCTCATTACATAATGTGCACATAGTTCACAGCATGTATGGACTGTCTAGAAAACCATAACGTAGAATTCAATCTCATTTCACTCTCCAAATACTGGTTTTCCAGCCATATAAGTGGCATTCTTGGTATTATGAACAGCTTATTTCTATTGCCTATGCAACACAGACATGCAGGTGTTCGCACAGCAACTGAGCACACAGTGGCTGTGTACTGGCTGGGCAGATGAGCAGTTACATACGCATGTATACTGGGTGCGTATAGGTCACAAAACTCCACTCTGCAAAAACCTAGCAGATACAAAGTGTTAAGTGCTGGAATAGACAGCAGCACCATATCAAATGAGAGTTGGAAGGGACCTCAGGAGGTCGCATCTAGTCCAACCCCCTACTCAAAGCAGGACCAGCCCCAACTAGATCATCCCAGCCAAGTCTTTGTTTAGCCGGGTCTTAAAAACCTCCAAGGATGGAGATTCTACAACCTCTCTAGGTAACCTGCTTCACCATCCTCCACATGAGAGGTTTTTTCCTTATATCTAACCTAAAACTTCCTTGCTGCAATTTAAGAACATTGCTCCTTGTTCTGTCATGTCACCACTGAGAACAGTTCAGCTTTATCCTCTTTGGGACTCCCCTTCAGGTAGTTAAAGACTGCTATTAAATCTCCCCTCGGTCTTCTCATCTCTAAACTAAATACACTAAGTTTCCTCAGCCTATCCTCAGAAGTCATGTGCCTGCCCCAGCCCCAAACCATTTCTCCGCTTATTTAGGACCCAATAATGGAATGGTTAAATGTCTCATCTAGAAGTTTGAACCTGCATTTCTCAGCACAATAAAATCACCAGACCAAAGGTCAGGCGTTAGCAAGCACCTTTTCCAGCCATCCTTTGGAAGCTGACCCTTTGGGCAGCCAAGAAAGAATGATTCGTAGGGCCAAGAAGGAGCAAGCAAACTAGAGGCACCTAGTTCAGTGAGGAGAATGTGAAGGTGGTGCTGGTACTGGTGCCTCTTCCAGAAGAAAGTACGATTTAGCCTGGACCCTTGTTCCCAGAGATAGAAACTTTTGCATTGCTTGCCACAAATTTTATCCACTGCAAGGTGCAGTGGCTCAGGGTCTAAATGAGGACTAGAAAGGGGACTAGTGATGCTTAGTGTTTAGCACACCACACTGGGAAGTCAGTGGTTTAGTGCCACCTCTGGGTGAAGTAGGGCCTAGGATTCAGGTCTGTTGCTTCTCAGGCAAGTATCCTTGCCAATCAGCAAGTTAGGCTAAACTATGGGAGGGTGCCTCCTACCCAGCTCTATCTTATGGGAGTTATGTTCAGGTATGTGCATGGAAAGCCATGTCCCTGCCTGAAAAGTGCTACGGTTACCATGTGTGCTTATCCCAAACTGTGCGTGTCAAAATGGCCACTAATGGTGGAAACCTGCCATTTGGGCATGAACAGCGAAACAGAATTCTGCCTGCAGATGCTCTATCCAGGAAATGATCCAGGGAACTTGGCCACACTCCTGTGCCATACATTGCACTCCACATGTTTTACTTATTAAAGACCTTTTCGGGCTCGCATCATGTTATCTAAGTGCCGTGCACATATTAAAGCACTTGCTTTCTCAATGCAAGCATCCAGAACACAAGTGCCATTACACCCACACGTGGAAACTTTTTGTGCAGTAAACTAAATGTGCATCAGCACTATTTCTGACCGAACAGTTTAATGAGCAGAACAGGCTACTGTGCATTAAAGCCCATGTGTAAACGCCCCCTATGTGCACTTAAATTGCCTAACAGGTGGAGTAGGAACTGGCTTGATGTTACTTCCAGTCATCTCCTGTAGGCTGCTGCTTCACAGCTTCAGCAAATGGGAACAAGCAGCTTCCAAAAGGCTCTTGCTTTTTTTTTTTTAAGCAAGGAAGAAGTGTAACGAAAGACTGGTGCAGACCCAAACCATTCCCATCAGCTGTGCTGCAGCTCCAGATGGCCAGGTGCATCGTCAGTACAGCTCCCAAAGACGGCAAAGAGGAAGGAGGAAAACTGCAGGCTCCCTGTGAAACCCTCTCTTCTGGGTCATAACCCTTCCCTCGACGTCCTGGATGACTTCAGGTTTAATGCCTACCATTTTGCCAAACCAGGGAGGCCCATCACTTGGTCTTGGTTCCTCGTGGCATACGTGATGTGATGACCCGGATCTTGGTAATTTTCGGATCAAAAAAAGTAACCCAAAACCCACATTTTTTTGTGATTAAAATGAAACACTACTAATGTGTGTGTGGTGGCATTTCATTCACGTCCACTCGTAGCCGTCACCGCAGAGCCAAGGCACAATAAGGACGGCGTGAGGAGATTTGTCCCTCCGCAGCCGCCGTGGCCGGAGTCTCCTGGCGGGAGACACGCAAAACCCCGCCCCGGAAGCTGGCGCGGCGTTGCCATGGCGGCGGCGCTGGGCCCCGCCCAGGGAGCCGCCATGAAGCTGACCCGCAAGGCGGTGCTGTCCCGCGCCAAGGCTGCCGAACTGGATGCCGTCCGCAAGCTCAACTGCTGGTGAGCGGCGGGTGGGCGTCGCTTTGACGTCACAGAAATACAGCTAAGGCGGCCCGTGCGCGTCACAGCGTCGCCGTGACGCCAGGTGTGACGTCCATTCGTTGCCCTTGTGGGACGGGGCAAACCTGGGGCCACCTTGAAGAATAGGCGCTGCCCTGACGTTAGCAGAGCAACAGCCACTGGGGGCTGTGACGTCAGGTCCGCTGGGGGGCGGGGCCAGCCGGGGCTCCTCCCCGTCACATCAGTAGCCTTGCCCAGGCCTGCTTGTGGCTCTCATGTGCGAGGTCAGGCGGCACGCCATGGTTAGGTGAGACGAGCGCTGCCTGGCGCCTGGTCACAGCAGCCAGCAAAGAGCAGACGTGCCTGGCAGCGCCTGTGCGAGCCGGGGCTACAGGTCAGAGCAAAGCTGCCAGCTGCCTTGAGCAGCTCCTGCAGGGCTGGGAAGTGCTGCCTGCGTCGTGCGCTGTGCCCCCAAGGAGTGCTCTGTGCCCTCCAGCCTCCCAGGGCTCAGTGCTGTCAGGACATTAAGCCCATAGTAACCTTACACGTGAGCCTCTGCCCAGGTACCGGTTCCCATCCCTGTGTTGTTTTATGTTGTCCCCTGAATTCAGTTGACGCTACCCAGTAGCTCCCGCGAACAACAGGGGGCTAACGTTGCTTTGTGGGTGTTAAGCCCAGGTTAACCTTACGCATCAAATAGGCCTGCATCCACCAGGCCCCTGGGGCCTGCGGGGCCGTTCCCTGTGCTCCCGTTTCCAGGCAGAGTTTCACTGGGCCACGTCTGCTGGCTCCTTGGACTCATCCAAGGTCCAGCGGGCAGTGTCCAGTGTGCTCTGCCACTGGTCTTCCTGTGCGCTCGCTCCAAACCTTTGACCTTCACCACCATCCCTATTTTCTGCCTTAGTTGTTCCCAGTAATCATGTGATATGCACCTACAGGCCCCCCATGTTAAGGGGAGCTTTCAGCTTCATTTGGTGGGGGCTGGCCTACATTCCCAATGTGCGTCAAATAGGCCTGTGTCATGGAGCTGCTGCTGTCCCAGGCACCACATCATACCATTGTGTTCGTAAACTAAATGAACTACATTTTAGACCTTGCAGGGGAGGGGTTGTTTTTTGAGGTGGGGGGCGGTTGCCACTGCTAGTGCCACTTGGAAGGGGGTCCCAGAGCATTTTTGCTTTAATAGTTAGAAACGTAATTTCTACCCTAAAGTTGAGCAAGTTTGTGCCTTTTTATTTTTGTGGCAGAATTGTCCTTGAGCTTGAATAGCTCTTCCCACCTGGTGTTTATCATGCAAAGTATGTATAGACAATATTCATGGCCCCTGTCAACCTTTGTTTTGTTAGATTAAACAAAGCCAAGGTTTTCTAGTCTCTTCTCATAAAGTAGACACTCCATTCTCCTCATCATCCCAGTGCCCTTCTCTGCACCTGGTTTCTTGGAACTAGCTACAACAATCAAGAGAACGTCATCATGAGTAAGTCAGGTTCTGGGGCATGGTGCTGCTTAAGACATATATGGAAACAATATTAATAAGAGGAGATGTAAAGCCACAGTTAATAGAATCATTGATGATGAAGGTTGGAAGGGACCTCTGGAGGTCACATCTAGTTCAACCCCCTGCTCAAAGCAGGACCAGCCCCAACTAGATCATCCCAGCCAAGGCTTTGTCTAGTTTAGTATTATGACACTGTTCCGAAGAAGCAGCAGGCTTCTCTTCGTTTGTTGCTACAGACTTTAATGTATCATTGACAACTTTCCTTCCTGGTTGGAACACTAAAAATTTTCTTAGGCATATTACAGCATGGTTCATTTAAAAAAAACAAGAGATGCATGCATTTCTCCTAAACAAGCTAACACCATATGCTTATGTTTCCCTGGAGCAGTGAAACATTGTTGATTTGTCAGCCTCAGACACGCATGCATTTTTGCTGTGATTCCAGAGAACGGTATATTTGGCATTCATTTAGCGGGTATGTAGACCTGCATGTTCTGATTCAGAGCAGCTCTCAGGTTTTTTGCCAAAGCAAATGCATCCTGTGAAGATAACACCTGCGCACTTCTGGGTTTTTGTTTTTTTTTCTGGGTGGGGTGACTAGTGTTGTGCGCAGGATGACATCCTTGTCCTACTCTGGCAGTTCATTTCTCAGTGTACCCAGTGTTACAGATTAAAGATGTACGTATATCTACAGCAACTAATGTTCTTATTTATCTGCACTAAAACACACTCAGTAAATACACTCGTGTTCATCCAAGTATGTTTTCAGTATTACACCTAAGTATGTAATTGGTTAAAGAGAAGTTTTTAAATGGTTTATGTAGCAGTCTTAATTTAGCCATTTTCTCAGGCTGTCTCTAATGTAATTTGTGTCATAGCTCTGGTCCAGCATCTCCTGTGTGTTCATTCTCCAGACTTTTGTTTTGGGTCCCAGGTCATTGAATCAGTGTGTTCTGAACCTCTTGAGTTTGAACAAGCTTTTGACACTTGTTCTGGCTTGGGGTTTCTGGGTACATTGTGAGGTGTAGCTCCTCTGGCTATAACCCGTGTGTGAGCTGGGACTTGTGAGGCAAGTACGTGGGCTTTGCTCTGACTCCTGAGTTTTCTGTCTAATTTTAGTACAATTTTTCCCAGAACATCAGTCAAAGGAGTGTTCTTGAGGGGCTCTTGAGCCCTCTTGGGGCATTCAGTGTTGGTATAAGCAGATGGTTGTTTCAGAGCCCTGCTGCTCTTCATTCAGTACCACACAAAAAATATAGTATAGACAAAAATATAATAAACCAGGCATTTGTTTTCCTGCCATGATTTCCTTCCTAGTCTAGGCCTGGATTTCCTGGGTTTGTCCAGGATCCTTTTTCTGCAACTCATGACTTTGTCCTCTGAACCGTGGAGTCTTTCCATCTCAGGTTGCTCTTCATATTAAAGCATGCTCATCTTCCCCAACCCCAGCCTAAAGTTTCTAGCCTGTCTCACTTTTTAACCTCCTCTTGTCCTGTTTGGGAAGTTTCCGGGTCTTAAGCCCCCTCCCTGCAGACAGGTAAAAGTAGTTTCTCCCAGATCCAGCCAACCTCCTTGGCATGTCAGTTTTTCAAAGTACAGTCATTAAAGTTAAATGTTTCTGTTGCGTCTTTATACAGAAGCATTCCATCATACAGCAGTCTTCATCATAACCTCATTATGTCAGTCAGAGTTTATAAACTATACGTAGATTCCTTTCATCAATGTACATGTAAGTCAGTCCTGGGAAACTGTTGCCTACCGCTGCACACAAGCAAAGCCAGCATCAAATATGTGAAACAAAACAGTTTGCTGCCAGCAATGGAAATTGCTTATTTGTAATTTAAAAAATGGTCTGTGCCCTGGCAGCTTGATAAAGTTAAAAGTGAGGCTGAGAAAAGGTAGTGAGCTGAGAGAGTAGTTCTCCCTATTTTTCTTGAAATTCAGCAAGTAGCAAAAGTGAATGGCTTTGCTGCATGCATAACCCATTACTAAGAAACCCCTCCAGATCTAAGATATCTTATCATGTATTGCAGGAAGAGTGCATATGGTTAATTTATACATGCACTTCCCTGGAAGCACGTTGTGACGTGGGGGCTGCAGTTCAGAGGTGGTTCTTACAAGTGGAATGAACATAAGTTCACGTCTGCTATTTATGTCTGCTATTTTTTCTTGTCTAAGTTGCGTTTGCAGAGATTGATGCATTTATTTGCATTTCTAGTTTAACAACCACAAAGGAATCCAGAAACATTACTTTTGCTGATGTGACTGAGTCAGCATTAATGGAAAACTTGACCTTCCTAAGGTTTTCCTGACGTCTGTATGTCTGATGAAACTCTAAATATTTAGAGAGGTGGTTGTAATTTTTGCATGTGGCGTTCTTGGGTTTCTGTATTGGAGTTTGATATTGATTTGTTTGGCCTTGTGAAATTATCCCACATGTAAGAAGAGACTTGATCTCAGTGAAACGTGTGTAGGCATTGCTGGAGCATGGATTTGTGCAGCCACTTCTCAGTGCCTGTAGAAATCATACAGAGGCCGTTAGCAGCATGAACCAAAGTGGGCCTTAGCTATGAACCGTGGTGACTGGAGAGCAGACCATGTATGCCCTAAGCAGAAGTGCTGGGAAAGTTAGGAGAATTAACTTTTAGACATCTCAGAAGGTCAATGGCTGGAAAACAATGGATAAGATGGGCACAAGACACCAAAACACCCTGGTAAACAGGCTTTTCTATCCGGTGAGAAGGTCGCAATAGCAAGTGCAATGTCTGGCAAAAACTGGATATGAATGATATCACATAAGCGCATTTAGTGATTGGTGAGAATTAGGAGATGCATGTTTTAAACATAGTTATTTTGATTGCCTGGAAACCATGAACTCTTTGTGCTGAGCTAGGAGCTGTATTTTATGCTGGTGCTGCATTCAACAGGTGGCTAGTGCCATGCCTGAATGGGCCATGATGTTTGTGTCTAGTGCTGTTTGTGAATGATAAACCCTGAAGAGTCATTGTTACTAAGAACCAGAGCCTGTGGCCTCTATTACAACTAACAAGGTTGTTGGGATTAGTAGTATAATATTGCCATTGGTATCCTGATAGAGCACTCACTGACCATCCAAGTTGAGGGAGCCTAATGTGACCAGTACTACTTCACCCATGACCACACCTGATGGAGTTTGTGCACTACTCATGTATTATTGTGTGTTGGGAGGAAATTGTACCTCCTATATAGGCCTCCCAAATGTGAATTTAAGCGCATTCAGGAGAGAACCAAGCCATGTTCAAACCTAGAACATGTTCTTTCACAGTGCAGTCCTAGTGGCAGCAGCTGCTCAAGCTGTCCTATCAAATGCTTTACAGGGAGCTGTTAAAACATACCTGTAAGGTCAGAGCAGATTGGGCTTTGCACTTTCTATATTAGTAAAGGCTTGGAACTCTCTCAGGAATCTGGAGGGTATTTGTTTGCCTCCCCAGCTGTGATTTACTCAAAATGGGGGAGAGAGTAGCTGCTGAGTGCATGGAAGAACAGGCTTGAGGGAGCATAGGGCTTAGGAAAGTATAGGACTGAGAAAGAAGAGAGGAGAAGCAACACAACCCTCTGTCCCACTTGTGGTGTTGCCACATTTTTATCTCGAGCCTCCTGGTAGAAAGCATTGTTTTGCTTTCAGTCTTGTATCGTGGAAGGTCATTTGCAAGAAGCAAAGATTCTGGTGCACAGTTCCTAAGGGCTAAGGATTGGTGGGGGGAGGACAGGACAGGCTCAGATGCCTGGGGTTTCCTGTTACACCAGAGGAAAGCCCCTCCAAGACTAGCTTTCTAAATAATGTGGATTTGAAAAAGGTGTTCATGCTCACCATCAGCCTTGGCTTGTCATCTCTTTCACTTTATGTAAGGCCTCATTGAAAATGCCTCAAAATTGAATTATCTGCTTTGCCACTTTTCACAGTGATTTATCTTCTTCTCTTTCAGGGGCAGCCGCCTCACAGATGTAAGTATCCTTCCTGCATTTGCTCACTTTGTTCCTTTATTTTTTTCCCCACTTTACGGCACAGTCCTTTAGTTTTAGGACCCCTCATTCATTGCTGAACCCAAAAGGGACACAGCAGGGATCAGTACGCTACATAGCAAGTTGCTGCCAGCTGCTGGTGTGGGCTTTGAAGTCTCATTTGGGAACTGGGAAGAGCCAGGTATGCTTATGGGCCCCAGATGAGATGACAGGACTGGAAACCCAGTGGTTTTTGGATGTTTATGGGAAAGGGGTGTGAAACTCCATATATTAAACCTATGCTGGCTCCCATTCACAGTCCTTGTGCAAAGCAGACTTTTTCACTTCATTTGCAGAAGGAGGGCACCTGCCCTATGCCCTGCTACTCTCTTGTGTGTGTCGGGTATCACACTTTTTTGAACTTTACAAGATGCAGAAGTCCAAGGACTTTTAGCCTGGCTTCACCTCTTCATTAAAAAGGAAGAAGTACTAAATTAAGGCAGTCTGCAAATTCATTCTGAGCTCTCAGGAACACAGTTTAAACTCCTTAGTGTCATTTCAAAGGTCACTAGTCTTCTGTTTCTCTGTGTGGTTGACAGCTTGGGGACTCCAGCCCCTATTCTTGGTTGGAAAAGGTGTTTTGAGAAGAGTAAGTCTTGTAAACAACAATAGGGAACTAGTGAATATGAGCAGTGTGGGGAGAGGGAGTACAGCTGCTTCTGCCCTGGGCAGGATGGATTTCTGGTCTCCCAGTATGACTGGGCAGAAGTGAAATAGTTATTGATCACAGTGCTTGGTGATCAAAAACGTGGGTGAAGCCAGGAAGCTCCTTCTTTCATGTGTTTGGTTAGGGTGACGAGTTAGATTAATGCAGACTTGCTCTCCTGTTGTTCTTGATGGGTTTGTTAAAGGATGTAGCTATTGGAACTATAAATTCCTGTTTATGGCCAGACAGCTCTAGAAATACAACTTGTTGTTTTTTTTCTGTCTAGATTTCAGTATGCAGAGAGCTGCCCAACATTGAGGTGATCACATTCAGGTGAGTATCAGGCTACCAGCCTCAGCTCAGCAGCGTAGGAAAGTCCTGTATCCTGTAGATGGCTACTACCTAGGACTCTTTCTTTGGTACTTAGTTTTCTCCTACCTTTGTGATGACACCTGGCTCTCCCTACCATAGTATCCAGTGTTGTGAATGTAGGTGAGTGTGCTGTGAAGGTAGAGATGCAGGGTGTATATATTTTCAACCCAGGCTATCCATGTCTTTCCCTGTAATACTTAAACCTGGATTTTTAGTAAGTATGGAGATGACATATTTTAGGGGAAGTAATTTCTGTTTGTAGAGGTGGAGTGTAATGTGTGTTGCCATTCTTGCTTCCGAAACCCCATTCCACTCTCGACACTGGATTCCCTCCTGTGCCCACTGGCCCCACAGAGGGTTACAGAATTTTGTCAGGTTGTAGTGAGCTTTGATTGGTTCTGTGGATGCTTGAGGAGCCTGCTGTGACAGCTCAGGGAGCACTAACAAATAAAATGACTGTGAATCCTTCATGGAAAATATGTTTTCTTCTTCCCACTGACCTGTTCCCTGGCAGCAAGAGCCTTTGAAACCCACGCAGGCCTCTGAGTCAGGTGGCAGAGGCTGTAGCTCAGCACAAATGAAAGAGTGAGTAAGTAGGTGGTAATGCTTACGTTAGAGATACTGGAGGAAGAGGAAGGGAGAAGTTCTGAGGGCAGTGAGATGGAGCAGAGAGTTCAAAAGTCAAGTAGCCTGGCCTGCATAGCTATATGCATCTGGCTCTGGGTGGCTGACTGCAGGGTGACACTCCAAAACGCAAAAAAAAAAAAAGGGCACAACAAGCCTTTTTCTTTGATCCAGACTGTATTTCATTACCTGTTAAATAGTAACCAATTTGTGTTTGGCAACAAGGTACCTAGTTGCACTGTACCCTTGGGGTGGCTTCAGTGCTGTTGAAATGATTCACAGAGTGAGATGAAAGAACTGCAGAATGGCAGGGGTCCTGCTTCTGCCTCTGTGTTACTGGTGGAGGGGGAGAGGGGAAGGCAGGTAGGTGGTTGGTGGTTCATAAATTTTAGGCTTCTGGTCTCATTTCTGGTATTCATCATCTCTGTTCAGTGTGAATGCTATCTCTGACCTGGAGCCGTTAAGTCAGTGCCAGAATTTGAGTGAGCTCTACCTGAGGAAGAATAGTATTGCCAGCCTGACTGAACTCTTCTACCTGAAAAATCTGCACCGGCTGAGAGTCCTGTGGTTGTCTGAGAATCCTTGTTGTGGCTTGGACCCCCACCGCTACAGAATGACGGTGTTACGCAACCTCCCCAACCTGCAGAAGCTTGATAACCAAGGTGGGTCCCTTAGAATAGACTCAGTGGCAGGAAAGCTTCAGAATGAAACCAGGGTCTGAAATATGCCAACCCATGAAGAGAGTCTTAGAATTCCAGAAAAGCAGGGCTAGAAAGGGACCTCAGGCAGTCACCGAGTTCAGCCTCCTGCTCAAGGCAGAATTAGCCCTTACTAAGCAGTTACAGCCAACTATTTGTCTAAACTGTTCTTAAACTTTCAAGGATGGAGATTCCACAGCCTCTTAGGTAGCCTGTTCCAGTGCCTAACCATGCTTAGGGTCAGAAAGTTCCTCCTCATCCTCAACCTATATTTCTCTTGATGTAATTTTAAGACCATTGTTTGTCCCGTCCCCTGCAGTCACAGAGAAGAATCTTTCACCATCCTCCACACCTCAGGTATATGAAGACTTGTATCATATCCCCCTCTTCCCCCCACCCAACTCAGTCTTCTCTTCTCCAGACTAAATATTCCAAGTTCTTTCAGCCTTTCCTTGTAAGTCATTGTTTCCCAGTCCTCTGATTATTTTTGTTGCTGTCCGCTTGACTCTCTTTTTTCTTTTTCTTGTCTACATCCTTCCCTTCCTGACATAGGGGGCCCAAATTTGGACACAGCACTCTAGATGAGGCCTTGCCTGTGTCGAATAGAACCAAAGAATCAGTTCCCTCAGTTTGCAAATTACCCTCCTATTAATATAGCCCAGTATGTTATTTTTTATTATTAATTTTTGGCAGCAAGAGCACCCCATTGACTCAAACTCAGTTAAAGGAATATGTTTGGGTTTGCTGAAAACTTGAAGTATACTTCCTCAAACAGAAAAGCTGATTCCTGGTTACTTAATTAAACATCTCTCCTAGCTGTTGTGCTGTCCTGTCACACAGCAGCTGTGTGTTCAGGGGTCCTTTGTCCATTGTAAGGCGAGTATTACGATCAACATTTATCAAAGTACAATAGCTGTCAGAGCAGATGTTGTACCACCAGTTAGAGTGTACATACTGTACTGGCATTTACTCTGGCAAAATGCAGGTGCTATGACAGAATCTGCTCACTTGGGTGCAGAAAGTAAGGCCTATTCCTTGGTTTGTGGCAGAACAGTTCTCTGTTTTCACCAAGGGATTGTGCTTGTAGTGGCTTCTGTCTGTGCATCTTGCTGCTAGGAAAAAAGGTGGTGATCTCCCTGTTGCTGGCATCCATCTTTATTTGGGCTGCCAGTGGCCTTCCTCCTCTCCCCACATAAGGCAACTGCAGAAGAAAGGTAAGCTGTAAGCATGCCTTGGACTTCTGTGGATATTCTCCTCCCTACTCCAGTATAAGGGGTCTGTACACACTCGCTCATGCATACCTTATGGCAGGGGGGAGGGGCAACCTCTTTAGCAGGCATGCCACAAATTAGTCTCTCATCCTCCCCAAGTGCCACTCAGATCCCCTTCCCTTGTCCAGTCTGCTGCTCTGCTTTCTGCCCCCTGCCCTACCTGCCACTGTGCTGTCTGTCCCCTCCCCAGTCTGTTGCATTCCACAGAGGCTGCCTATGCCACTTGTAGCAAGCATCCTGCAAGTTAGGCACTCCTGTCTTATGGTAGTCTGCTTGTTGCAGTAATACATTCCCAGTGGGTTGCTGTATTAATTCCATGGGGATTGTGTTCTCTGGAGCAAGCATTGGTCACCTACAGCCCACAGGCTGGATCCGGCATACAGCAGGTGGGATAGGCAGTGGGTGCGCTTTCTCTGTCCTGTGCCACGTGCTGCTGATCTCCTCTGCAGTGCCCAGGCCGCCCGCTGCCACCCTAGCCTCCCTGCCCTGTGCTGGGACTGCTGTTTCACCTCAGTACTGCGGTTGCCACTTCCCCTTTTGCCTCTGAATTCTGTGTTCCTCATTGCTTTTGGCAATGGGAATCAGTGGTGAGGGTAAGGAGAGGCTTCAGTAGTGGGGCACAACAGGGAGAGCTGCTGCACTACAGAGGGGATCACAGCCTAGGGGTTGGGGGCTAGGTTACAAGTGAGAGCCTGTTTTTTTTAAAGCTTCCCAACCCCTAGCCTAGAGGATCAGACTAGCCCTATAACTGGCCCTTGTTTGTTTCTTTGAAGCTGTGACGGAAGAAGAGCTGTCGCAAGCGCTTGTAGATGGCGAGGAGATCACTGCACCCCCAGCCAAACAAACCATAGAGAACTGCTGCCCAGGGTCAAGTGAATCCAATGCTACTGAATCCACAACAGAGACGGAGAATGAACTTCTGCACTTCAGTCTGGAGGAGACCAAGTGAGGGCAGGCTGTTGGCTCTGGGAGACCTTTGCTAAACCTGTATGTGATGTCAGGGGGTCCTCCCAGCACCTGGCCCCAAAAGTCTGTGGGCCAGGTCTCCAGGGGGTGCAAACCCATGCAGCACTATTGTCCCCCAGTAAAGCTCTGCTGGCTTTACAGCAGCTCCCTGCATACAAACTCAGTCCTTCCACAGGCAGCTACCTGTTTCAGGATACATAGGATTTCATAGATTTCATAGATATTCGGGCTGGAAGGCACCCCGGATGATCATCGAGTCCAGCCCCTGCTCCAGGGGCAGGAAGTCAGCAGGGATCCCAGCAAGATAAGCATGCAGATGCATTCATAAGATTGCAAATGAAGGTCCATGTCGCGGGTCCTTTTTAAGTGTGCTGCCTGTTACCCAAACATGCAATGGAGAATTTTGGCCCTTCTATGGTCCCAGGGAGCCTCTTGCCTTTCTTTTTAGCTGTAAGAGTTGGATTCTGTCATCCCGATGGTGCTGGGGGGAGGCATCTTGTGGCATGATGCTCACTTGGTCCTTGCTTATATTGTGCTCTTTTTTTTTTCTCCCTTCCTAGTAAAATCCGAGAGCAGCTTGGCATGAAACCTGTCCCTAGAGATAAATTTTCCTCCTTTTCACCAAGAGAAGCAGACAGCAGCCGGAAGAAGAAGGTGAGTGTGCTTAAAGACCACATCACCTATTTGCAGTGTGTGTCGACTGAATACTTGGCTAGATTTAAAGATGAGGAATCCTTTTTTTTCTTTTGGATCTGGAAGGTGCATTTTGGTACCATTGGAAGAATGCAGGTGAATGCAGATCCCTCCAGTACAGCTCACAGATGAAGGGGGGGCAAGGTGTTGTCCATGAGTCTGATAGGCAGCTTGCAGGCTGTTGGATTGACAGAAGAGATGCTGTTGAGATTGTCCACAGCACCCATCATTAGTGCTAGGGGTGCACACACTTGAGAAGCTTGTTACTTAACCCCTTCCTTGAGAGAGAGAGGTCAGGACAGATGTGACTGCACAATCACACATCTGTTTCTGCCCTGTATTATAATAAAAGTTCACCTTTATGTAGGAAACTTTGCCTTAATTCACCCTACCAGCTATAGCCAGTGGATGGTGATGACACTATTTGAAATTAAATCTCGCTCAGTGTGGATCCAGCCAGGATGGGCCTCCCAATGTGGTGTGGGCTCACTGCCATCATCTTGATGAACAAGGAGGGTTGGAATGAACTTGAGATTAGTCTTTTCCTGTTTCATCCCTCCAGCAAGCCCTCTCCATCCTTTTGTTTGTTTGCATTTTCCGGTTACTTTTATTTTAGTGGGCAGGGTTCTCATGTGATACCTCGAGGGCTGTTGGAGGCTGAGTACTCTAGGAATACAGGTATTCCCTAAAGGACCAATGATGGGGGAGGGAACAAGTGAATTTTAGCAGACCCTTCCATTTTTCACAACACCTTTCACCTTCCAGACTTCTGCTAATGCCACCCTCTCCCCCCTCAACACGCATCCACATTAGCCTAAGGGAGAAGAGCAGAGATAGGAGCCAGCTTGGTTTAGCCAAAACTTTCTCTTCCCTGTAGACATCCATTGAAAGGGTTACCAGGAAATAGAAGCCAGTCAGTGGCTTTCAGGGAACAGCAAATGCAGAGGACTTTAGTTCTAGATTCTAGGTATGTTCCATGGATTAACCTCTTTCTCTCCTTAGCCTTCACAGTATTTACTCTCTCACCCCAGGATTTTGGCTGGGGCTGTCCACAGAGCTGCAGGTGGCTGTCCCCCTAATATGCTGTGCATCCTGATGCTGTGGGGAGTAATCTCTGCAGTAGGACACTATGTCATATACCTGAAAAAAGTGAGGCAGGAATTTAGAAGACAGCGAAACACAGCCCAGTGTTCTCTGGAAATCCAGCCTGACGTGAGGCATGAGACCAGATATCATTGAATTAATGACATGTGTCCTGTCTTAACAGAACAACATCCTGAATGCCATCCTGCTGCTCATGAAAGAGCTGGACACAGAGGGACTGGAAATCGTCCACCAGACGGTGGGAAGGAGACTCCAAGCCTTACAAAAGAAGGAGCTTCAGGAAGAACGATAGTGCCTGTTGCAGAACTCTCCAGAGTAGCCATCTGGTGGGTTCACAGCACCAGAACCAGACTAGTAGCACCTGCTGCTGCCTACATGCACTTCAGGCTACAGGGAAAAGCTCTGTATCCTGCTGCACTTTACCTGTGGGTGGGTTTGCTAGGATGCTACTGACTGTAAGATGAAACGAGTTCTCATAACTGCATGACATTCCCCTTGGCCGTGCATGTTGTGCCTATGCTCAGAGCATCTGATGTAGTCGTATTGAATACTTTTAGCCTGCGTAACAGGCTCTGCTGTGTTTGTAATTTGTGTGGCTGGCTCAGGGCTTCGCTAGGAGTTCTCAGGCAAAAGCGAGCAATATAAGAGGAATAAGAGATTCGTATCTGCTGCTACTTGTGCTAATGAAATGGAATGGCGGGGCCTTCCCAGCAGCAAGAAACGCCATGTCTACTAAAGCCAGTATTGGAACAAACCTGTCACAGCAAGGCTGGGCTGAAGCCATCTAGCTGCGGTAACTGGTCTATTGGATAGTATCCCAGCAAGGACATATACTGCGCCTTGAGGCATGGGAGAAGACTTCAACAGCAGCTTCCCTCAGTGAAGTTTATTTTTATGAAATCTAGTTTACAAAATGGACATGTCCTATAATAATCATTAAATCTGTGGTGCATTTCTCAGAGCTTGGAGTCAAAGTATTAGTTTATTTCCACCCTTCCCTTTTTTTCTAGTCATGCTTTGTACTCTGTGTTTCAGAACCGATGGCCTCTTGGCCGTTGAGAGTGACTCTAAAGATAGTTGTTGCATTTAGGTCTAAGTTCAGGCTTCTGGGTGGCAACCTGCTCTCTCTTGTACTTCAGAGTTCAGCTCTGCTCTCCACCACCACTCACCCGTTGTCTCCTCAGCCTCAGAAAAGCCTACAAGGAGAGCAGAAGCAAACACCCATGGTCTCCAGGGAGAAGGAAACAAAGGGTTTCTGAGGTATTTGCTTAGCTGGCAAGCTGATGGCTTTTCTTTATCAAAGAAGCTGAGCTCATTAAAACTGGTAAATGCTCCATTAAAAAAAAACATTCGGTTGAGTATTTCACACATAGTATCAATCTTCACAAGAGAAGAGGGAAGAGGCTCCAGCTGTACTTTGCTTTCTTTTAGACAGGGCAAAGGATGCTGCTTTTTAAGTAATGAGGGGCTGATTTAACAAAGTTGCAAGCAGGGATACACAGAAATACAGTAGCAAGTACCACATAATTGCCACCCGGACAGTTCTAAATCCTGATAGGATTAGAGATCAGCACAAGGCCTGAATAGCAGACTGGGGTCATTGTCTTTCCTGGAACTCTGCTCCTCTGTGCCTCTCTCCCCAGCAGTAGTTAAGCTTGGGTCGGGCCTGCATATTGTATTGTTCCATTGTCCAGGCTTCAGCCCAGCAATTTGACTCCTGTGTCCTTCTGGTGTCAGGCTAGAGCAAGGGCCTCTCACCTCCAGCAATGTGAAGGTTCTCTGTACAAATCTCATTTTTGGACCCTGTATAGCAGAATAGAGTTTGGCCCATAGTTGCCTGCCACTCTGTCTTCTAACTATTGGGTTCTGTTCCAAGGGTCCTGACCCCACCCCTGTGACCTCATTTTTTCCGTTTGTTTTCATGCAAAGCTGAGCAGGCTCTCTCAAATCCCCTACAGAACCAGCCTGTTAAAACAGATATACCTCAGTTCTGTTATTTCTGCCTCTAGTCTCCCAGAGCTGGAAAAGAGCCTGAATGACAGGGTAAGAACACCTGAGCCATAAAGAGACCCTGTAGTTGTCTTTGTCATTCTCTACGTGTCCAGAAGCAGTTATTTACTCTTCCAATTGCTGCTGCTTTATAAAGAAATAATTGTCTCCTCTGTTCATCCGGGTGTTAATAAGGCTTTATTTTTTGTTAAAAATAATCAAGTTGCCAGCGGAAGAACTTGGCTATGCCAGGGTCATCCACCCCATCCTGGCTGTGATGCTGGATTACCATTCAGCTGCTTTGGCAGGTAATATGCTGAAATGCAGGGTCTCCCAGATATGCTGCGTAATCTGGAAGGGCCTCACTATGCAGCAGCCCATTCTGTAATTCAAACCAGCCAGCATGGTTTCACAAGGTGCTTTCTGTGTAGTGTGCGCCTTGGACAAGTTTAGCTTTCCCCCCAGTCTCTATCTGCCTGGTCTATTTAGAGCAAGTTCTTTGAAGCAGTGATAGGCAAGGTTCTTTGGGTAGATGTGATATCTTTTATTAGACCAACTGTGTAATTGGAAAAAAGTTCTTTGCAAGCTTTTGGGTGCAGTCACCCTTCTTCAGGCATAAGGAGTCTCTGCTGTTTCACTCCCAAGGAGTGAAAGAAGCTAAACATGTGACAGGATGTTGGTGAGAATATAAATAGGGGGAAATTAAGAAAACACAAGGCAGAGAAAGGAATGGAGGTGGGAACAAGGCAGGGTGGTGGGGAGGGGAGAGAAGCTAAAGGTACATAAGGGAGACTCTAAGACTCTACTGTAGCAGTTTTCCAAGGTAGAAAAGAGGCTGCCCGTGAAAAGGAAATAGCTGGAAATT